CGCAGAGAGCTGGCTGGTGGCCCTGGTGTCCCTGTCCCTGGTGTCCCTGATGTCCCTCTGTCCCCGCAGAGAGCTGGCTGGTGGCCCTGGTGTCCCTGTCCCTGGTGTCCCTGATGTCCCTCTGTCCCCGCAGAGAGCTGGCTGGTGGCCCTGGTGTCCCTGTCCCTGGTGTCCCTGATGTCCCTGTGTCCCTCTGTCCCCACAGAGAGCTGGCTGGTGGCACTGGTGTCCCTGTCCCTGGTGTCCCTGATGTCCCTGATGTCCCTCTGTCCCCACAGAGAGCTGGCTGGTGGCCCTGGTGTCCCTGTCCTCGCTGGGGTGGTGTCCCTGTGCTGTGTCCCTGATGTCCCTGTGTCCCTCTGTCCCCACAGAGAGCTGGCTGGTGGCACTGGTGTCCCTGTCCTCGCTGGGGTGGTGTCCCTGGTGTCCCTGATGTCCCTGTCCCCTCTGTCCCCGCAGAGAGCTGGCTGGTGACACTGGTGTCCCTGTCCTCAGTGTCCCTGATGTCCCTGTGTCCCTCTGTCCCCACAGAGAGCTGGCTGGTGGCCGTGGTGTCCCTGTGCTCAGTGTCCCTGATGTCCCCTATCCCCTCTGTCCCCACAGAGAGCTGGCTGGTGGCCCTGGTGTCCCTGTCCCTGGTGTCCCTGATGTCCCTGATGTCCCTCTGTCCCCACAGAGAGCTGGCTGGTGGCCCTGGTGTCCCTGTCCTCGCTGGCGGGGGTGGCCGCGGTGGCCCTGGCGGTGGCGGGGGGGCTGTACCTGCGCAGCCCCGCCTGCAAGAAGGGCGAGTACAACGTGCGGGACGCCGAGGGCTCCTCCGAGGCCGCCCGGCTGCACCGGCCCCGCCGCGGCCCCCCGGACATCTTCGGCATCCCGCTCACCCCCCCCTGAGCTGGGACCCCAAAACATCCCCCCCGACCGGGCTTTTGGGGGGCACAAGGAGTGGGACACCGAGGGACCCGGCAAAGTCATCCCTCGGCCCCGGCACGGCCCCCCCGGACATCTTCGGCATCCTGCTCACCCCCCCCGAGCTGGGACCCCCAAATCCCCCCCGACTGGGATTTTGGGGGGTACAACATGTGGGGCACCCAGGGACTCTTCAAAGGGGGTTTTTGGGGACCCCACAGCCCCTCTTCCCCATCCCAGGGGGTTTTTGGGGTCCCGCCCCTGTCCCGGGGGGGTTTGGGGGCCCCCACGCCCCCTCTCCCCCATCCCAGGGGGTTTTTGGGGTCCCCCCCCTGTCCCGGGGGGGTTTGCGGGGGGCCCCCACGCCCCCTCTCCCCCATCCCAGGG